ACAGACACTTTCATGTGTAAATAAAATACAGCATAGAGGGAGCATCAACAAAATTTATGGGAAAGAAGGCAGGATTTCTGAATAAATGGGGTTAGGTCAATTGATCTTGTCTTCTTAATTCTACTTCTTAAAGCTTTCTATAGTATTAAAAAGAATCTTTCAACTTGAAAGACAGCAACAGATTGGAAAAAGTATTGTAAAATATTTTCAGAAAATAGGACAAAGTTCCAATTTATTAAAAGAGATTGTACAAAGATAAGAAAGATATTCCAAATCTTAGTAGAGGAATGAGCACAAGATATACAAGTGCAGTTTCCAAAAGAAGCAATCAAATTAGAAAGAAACGTTACTCAAGAAATGCCTTATAAGGATATTGGAGGTATGAGCCACCACTTTCAGATATCGTTTGTTTAGCCCCCTTGGCTGGGGTTAAATATGAGCCTCTCCTTTTCAAATCATGTCAGTACATTTGTATATTAAGCTCACTTGCTCTCCTTCTCGTATCCCAATGGCTTTATGGCAAATGCCTATCACATGTGAAGACAGTAGTTCTCTCCGAGCACATTATACTCCATGTAAGTAAGTGTAAAATTTCTTCATAGTAGAAACTCCACGTGTCCAGTTGTCAACTTACACATGGAACCTTGCATCAAGCTTGGAGAATATTGGGATGTGCACAGTGCATGAGTCAAAGGCAGGCTGGTGTGGGGCTACTTTCAGGAAGCTGGCTCTTTGGCTGGGCAGATGAGACTTACCACTTACCCACAGGGAGCAGCCAGAGAGCAGAATGAGGTCTAATGTGCCTGCAAGTCACCGAATCTCTCTTTGCCTTGTGTCCCCCTCTATCTAAGAAAGGATTGGATTTTCAGTATTCCCCATCCTTTGCCCTTCAAGTCAGAACTTTGGGGAATTTCACTTTCTGCAACTTGTATTGTTATAGGGCTGGGACCTTCTGGGAAACTGAAGCAGCATAAGGCCCCCTATGTCCCTGATTCTTGGGACCAGGTCAGAAAGATCTTAGACATGTTGCTCAGGGTAGCAGGCATGAGTTCATTAGAAGGAATGGGAAAGGGAAAACAGGGACACTGTCAAGGGAGAGTAAGTCCTCTCGGGGCGGGGGGGGTGTCTCTCCTGCTCTCCAGTATTTTGGGGATCCCAGGGAGGTTTCCAGAGTCCTGCTGAGGTTCTCCTCTTGACTTTTGACTGACGATGACATCAGACTTTCAAATTCCCACTGCCATGACAACTCTAGGTCATTTTGGCCCATGCTGACCAGTTCTAAATAGAACCTCTTCTTACAGGAGGTTAGGGGGAATTATCCTTATCTCTTTGAGTTCTGGGATCTGGTCTGCGTAAGGGTTGCCACTGCCCCCTAACCCCACAGGGTAACTTGTGTTGTTCTTGACTGCACTTTGTGCCTGCATTTCTTCTGCAGACAACAGGTCATTTGCTTAGGAATGTAACATATCTTGTAGACTTAAGCCAGACAGAGTTGCAGGTAAATTGCTTTTTAAAAGTGAAACTGTGTGGGGATCAGCACTGTAGTCCCCATTGATAGAATTATCCCATTAACCTCATTTTCCCACCATTCATGTCTGTCCATCCCCTATTAGTATCACAAAAACAATTGGCATTTTTTGTTTTCCCAAAATAAAAACAAGTGAATGTCCTTTTTGTCAAACTACACATTGCCTGCCAGCCCTGAGCTGGAGGGCAACTGGGACAGAGGAGTCAATGGCTAAGATCCATTCCAATCTAGAATTTCCTTAACTCAAAGGTGGGGAAGCTGGCTTTAACATACTGAAACTAATATCGTGTGAAACATTAACTTGACAGGTACAAAATTTTTAAAGTTTCCACAAATACAGACATTGATGATATGCTGGATCAAACAGAGTTACATGCAATTCTTTACATAGAATTTCTCAGTGTTTTTAATGGACATTGGTATATCCAGAAAAGAAGTAAATGCACAGCTTTTTGCTAACTCACTGATTTTTTTTTAAAGATTTTTAAAGATTCCTGGAGAATCTTAGGTCTGCTCTTCTGTGGAAATTAGGAAGTGGTGACTTTCATTTTCACCTGCTTGTTCTAGTTGCAATGGGTTTTAATGGACACAGCATGTTTTAACATCCACTTCAGAAGAAAAATAAATATATATATATATATATATACACACACATATAAATTTCTCATCAGAAGCAGGCAGATGGTAAGGTGGTTAGGTCATCATTGTCACAAACTGTCTCACTGTCACAAACCCAATGCAGTCATTTTTTAAAGGGGAGAGACTTTTACAGAGGGATTTTTCCTTGAATTCTTTTCAACGCATACACTCGTTAAAATCAAAACAAGATTGTAATTGTTCTCAAAGTTTTGTGAACATAGCAGAGTGGCTGAATTAATATTTTGTTTATTAGTATTACAAAATTCTTCTTCAACAGTTTTGTTTTGGTTTGGTTTGGTTTTTGATACTGGGGGGTTAATCCCAGGGATGCTTAACCACTGAGCCATATCCTCAGCCCTTTTTATTTTGAGACAGGGTCTCACTAAGTTGCTTAGGGCCTCGCTCAATCACTGAAGTTGGCTTGGAACTTGTGATCCTCCCCCCGGTGCTACTCGAGTCACTGGGATTACTGGTGTGCCCCACTGCATCCTGCACCTTTCACTTTTGAGTGAAAGACTGGGGGTGCAGCTCAGTGGTGAGCACTTGCCTAGGTTTGATCCCAGGACTGGAGAAAAAAAAGAAAGAAAGAAAAAAGAGATTTGAGTGTTTGAGTGGAATAGTTCAAGTTGACCTTCAAATGTGTTTATTAAACACAATGTCTTTGGACCTGACTGTGAGGCCACTGTCATGTGACTCCCTGTTTCTGCTGGAAGGAGACAGCAATAACTACACCAAATGTCCACTTTCAACATACTGGACATTCCTTCTCTACTAATAGTGGCCCATGTTCCTGCTGTTATCTTGAAATGTTTTATTGAAATATATTTTTATAGACTGTTGCTTCCCTTCTATCCCCAGTAAGAATCAAGCTAAGAAAAGTGAACACTGTGGAAGTTATTCCCAAGAACAATGAGCAGAATCAGAGAAGCTGCTTAAAGTGTTTATCTTGTCATGGAATGATCTGAGAAAAGGGTTGCCTAAATTTAGGAATTCTCTAGAAATTAGGAAGGAGAATCTTCAAAATCAAGAAAGCTCACCATGGTTCCAAGAAGCTTGCAGAGTGTCTGGCTTATGAGAAATGAATGTTAACCTGTACAGGACAGGTACCCTTTTTCAGTGTCCATTATTCATATTTTTTAATATTTTTCCCACCAAGGCCTGGCTCAGGAGAGCCAGGGCACATCATCCTGGTGCCATTACTGGCTCATTGTACAGTGTGACATGATTCTTTTAATGCCCCATGCACAAAGCAGCCAGGTAGGGCTCCCACACTTGGGAGTTCTGAGTCCAGACTGAGGGTGGGGACCAGCCTTTCTGCTTGAGCACGATCTCCAAGGCAAGGGTTAGAGAGCATCAGCAGTTGCTGTGGCAGGATACTGACTTTCAGGGAGTTTGCCCCATCAAGGGGGCCAGTCATTGGTACCAGCTGCAGCCCCCTCCCCTCAGGCTCCACGCTGTCTGGATTCCTAGACATCATACCTCCTATCTCTAGGTGACCAGGAGACTCTTATGAAAGCAGCTAAGCTGCACCAATTCTTTATTTAAATTTTTTTGGGGGGTACTGAACCCAGTGATGCTTTACCATTGAGCTATATCTTCAGCCCTTTTAATTTTTTACTTTGAAACAGGTTTTGTTAAGTTATTGAGGGTCTTACTAAGTTGCTGAGGCTGGCCTTGAACTTACTATCTTCTTATCTCAATCTCCTGAGTTGTTTGGATTACAGGTGTGTGCCAGCTTCATAAAATTATTATTATTATTATTATTATTATTATTATTATTATTATTAGTTTTAATTAGTTACACACGATCTTGACATATCATACATTTGAATCAAATGGGGTATAATTACTCCTTTTTCTGAGTGTACAGGTTGCTGAATCACATTGGTCGTACAGTCACGTATATACATACAGCAATAGTAGTGTCTATGTTATTCTGCTGTCCTTCCTATCCCCCCTCCCCTCCCCTCCCCTCACTTCTCTCTGCCCAATCTAATGTGATACACTTCTTTTTTTTTCCCCTCACATGGTCATGCGATGAGGGTCTCCTTCCATCTTCTGTGCAACTCCCCTTCTCTCTCCCTTTCCCTCCCACCTCTTTTTCCTATCTAGAGGTAATTTTCTTCTCATGCTCTTCCTCCCTACCCCATTTTGAGTCACCTCCCTTACGGAGAAGACATTCGGCATTTGTTTTTTTGGGATTGGCTAACTTCACTTAGCATAATCTGCTCTAATGGCATCCATTTCCCTGCAAATGTTATGATCTTGTTACTTTTTAGTGCTGAGTAATATTCCATTATGTATAAATGCCACATTTTTTTTTTTTATCCATTCATCCATTGAAGGACATCTAGGTTGGCTCCACAGTCTAGCTATGTGAATTGTGCTGCTATAAATATTGATGTGGCTGTGTCCCTGTAGTATGCCGTTTTTAGGTCTTTTGAGTGTAGTCTGTGAAGAGGAATAGCTGGGTCAAATGGTGGTTCCATTCCCAGTTTTCCAAGGAATCTCCATACTGCTTTCCAAATTGGCTGCACCAATTTGCAGTCCCACCAGCAGTGTATGAGTGTACGTTTTTTCCCGCATCCTCGCCAGCACTTGTATGACTGATTCAAGTACTGTTTGAGAGTACAGCCCAGGGGGAAAGGGCAGAACCCAGATAGGGAGGAAGGACTCACTGAGTCACATAAGTTGTGATGGGTAGAGTGACTGCAGCACCCAGATCCTGAACTGTCTTCCAGGTGGTACTGCTGGGAATTTGCGGCAGCTTTTCTTGCTTGATACGGGGTTTTCCTGGAGTTGACAAAAACTTCTTGTCTTTGTTGAATTTTAGAAATGGCTTCAGACATACCTGGATCGGTGACATTGCCTGTTGCCCCAATGGCGGCCACTGGACAGGTGAGGATGGCAGGGGCCATGCCTGCCCGTGGAGGAAAGCGGCGTTCTGGGTAAGCAGCCTCCGCATTTCCAGGAATTGGACATAATAAATGTTGAGCAATGATCTTGACCTGTTGGGAAAGTATTGTTTTTTCCCCTCCTGTAGAATAAGAACTCAGCAGCTCACATCCTGTTTAGATTTTGCAAGATTCCTAAATATGCACATGATTTGCTTCTAAGTGTTTTGGGCCTTGGCACCCAGCTGGGGACTTCTGTTTGCTTATCCTTGTGGTGGGAATGTGCTTAGTGACCCTGCTTGTGACTTCTTCAGGCAAGGAGGCTTGCTCTTCACCACCACAAGTTCCCCCCTGCCCCACAAGCTCTGAGGCCAGATTTGTTAGCTGAGTTCCAGGCCCTATGGGCTGCAAAGTATCACCCTGGAGCCCTCCATCATTTTCTCTGGCTGCCCATCTTTTGTGGGCAATGTACAGAATTCCTTTCAGAATAACTGGCTAAAGTCTGTGTCTGAAGTTCAGACAGCTTGAATCACATACTATTACTGGCTAATAAAGTTGAGAACAATAATAGTGCTATTAACTATGCCAGTTCTGAGAGAGACAGAAAGACCAGCACTTTTGAGCAGATAGGATCAAAACTGCAACTATTCATACTGAATTAGAGCAAACAACCAACCACAACTCTAAGAAAAAACATTACTGACATTTCAGACTCAGTTATCACTTAACCCCTTTCCAGCACCAAATCTATTTTATTTTCAGTGAAATATTAGACCAACAAGGTTTCTCACAAAGTCAAAGCAACTTTTACTTTTAATGCAACTTCTGGTAATACATGGGCTCCCCTGGAAAGCTATTGTACTATTACTGCAGAATATGCTTCTGATAGCCCAACACCTATGGGGTGGACCTATTTTTTAATGGTCCAACATTTTTAAAAATTTTATAATTAATTTTTTAAAAAATTTTTGTTTTAATTATTTACACATAACAATAACCTTGACATATCATACATTTGAATCAGATGGGATATAATTTAATTTTGAGAGTTTGCTTTAAACCATTGTGATTCTTAAAGGGGACAGAGACAAGATATAGATGTGTATTAGCATCTGGGATTGAGTGGGCCTAAGAAGAATAAGATATTCAGCTCTATAATTTCAGAATGTAAAATAGACTATTGTGTGTGTGGTATAGTCTGAAGGTGGGGCCTGAGATTTTCATGATTGTTAAGAAGGTTTAAAGGACTAAGAACTGGAACTCAGAGCTTAGGCTACCTTCACCTTGCTTTAGCATGCTCACTTTTGGTGCTGATGTAGCCAGTTTTGCATTTTCAGTTTCGTTATTTTGGCAGAGGGACTTGCAGAGCTGGGATGAGAAATGTTGGTGCCCCTAGGCAAAACTCCTCAGATCAGCTCTGTAATAAATGATGTGGCTTGCCTCCGGGGCTCACTGCAAAGCAACCTTCCTATTTTAACCAGCCATTCTTGCTAACAAGGTGCTAAGCTCAGCAAAGTCTGGGTTGCTAAAAGAATGTGCATGTTTGGTATCAGTATATAGATCATATAAATTTATTTTTTTAGTGGTTGACAGACATTTATTTATTTTTAATTTATTTATATGCAGTGCTGAGAATCAAATGCAGTGCCTCACACATTTCAGGCAAGTGTGCTACTGCTGAGCCACAAACACAGCCCCAATTATATAGATTTTTAATTGATTTTTAAAAAACACCAGGTCTTATAAAAATTATTTTAAATGTTTATGTGCTCTAACTGCATTCTATAGAAAAAGCTTTATCCATCACCCAAGTCCTTTTTTAGAAAAGGCTAGCTCAGGAGTCTGTTGAAGGAAGTAGGCCAGGTCAGGCCCAAGTCTAGGCAAAGATGCTCTGATGCAACCCAATATTTTCAGGACTAAGAGCCCTCTCTGTGCTTGAGGGTGGGAGGGTGTCTTTGAGCCTCCCTCTGCTGGGACTTTCTGCCAGCTCCTTCAGGGACTGGGCTGAAATAAGCCAAGGCTGTGTTCCTCCTGGGCCTCCACGTTCCTGACCTGAGTCTAGCATCCTTACCCTGATCTCTGGTTGTTCCCTGGGCTAATGATTTGACCAGGGACTCAGTCCCATTTTTAAAGAATTCCTCAGAGCTGTCCCTTTTCCTTCTGGGTCTCTCTCTCCTTCTCTCTTAGGTGCATGTGTACTCACACACACACACACACACACACACACACACACACACCCCATCAAGAGAAGAATCAAGAGTCTGCAGAGGATGGGAGCACCTGCTGATACCACATCCAGTGGCAAGGAGGGGGCAAAGCCCCTTAAAGGCAACTTAACCTTCCCCTAGAGCCTGTCCAATATTGTCCTCATTTTTAGGGTCCTTCTTCCTCCCCATCAGATAGAAAGAGTAAACAAATGAAGATTCATTCCATTTGCTAAGCCTCCATGATTTAGTGATTTATCCTGTGTTTTAGCAAAGGAACCTCCATTTTTATAGAGCTGTTTCCATAGTAATTCTTGCATCTGACATTTTTATACATGTTTTGTTGAAATTCTGTAATTGAAGCCACCATGGCTCTGGAAGCTTTGATAACAGTCCCTTCAGCCAAACCCACTTATTAGCTCAGTGCATAGGAGATCCAGGTAGAAGCCACATTCATCAAAAAGCAGATGACACCACAGTGGGGCTCTGCTTTAAGGTCCACATTTATTGCTACTTTCCCTGAGATTGTGGAACACACTTGGAGAGGTACAGGGAGAGAGGGAGAAGAAGAAAGAGAAATGGAGGTGATGGGAGAGATCCTTATAAGATCTCCCACTCTGACCTGATTACTCTGGTTGAAAGAAATGTCCCAAATTTTCAGGAGAATCACCCAGCCCACTATATCTCAGGCTTGCAGCCAAGTGGAACTCATGGCTTGAGGGTTATGGACCTTCCTGGCTGCATGATTGGGCCAGCACTGTGGGTCCTTCCTGGATGAACTTTCTTCTACTTCCCTGACAGCCCTGCATAGGAAGTGTCCCAGCAGGCTGGATGCTGTCCTGGCAGTCAGGACACAAAGTGAAGTTTCAGAAATTTCAGATTCCTTCTAGTGTGGTTGCACATTAGTGGGAGAGATGAGCTGAAATTGGTTACCTGAAATGAATTTCTGCAGTGACCTCCCTGATCTCAGAGAGGGTGGCCAGGAGCAGGGACTTCAGCAGAGCAGAGGCAGTGTTTCTAATATTAGGGAGAGCAGCCATGATTGGGGAGGGTCTGTGCCTATGCCCAGGCTAGACATTGATGGGGATGGAGTGTGGAAGTTGAGGGCAGAGACATATCAGTCCTGTCTCTCTGTGTTGGAGTCCAGTTCTGGGCTTCTAAAATATCAACACTGAAGGAAAATTATTCATATTGCACCCAGCCAATATACCAGGGTCTCCTGACATAACCCCATGAGCTATGAAAATGTGTTCAAATTAAAGGCATGTTTACACATAGTGCTATGAATATAAGTGCATGTTTATAAGTGCTAACCAAGTTGTGTCACTTGGTTAGCACTTATAAACCAGCATTGCTGTTGTAGAGTGTTTCCTAGCACCTGTCTGTAGCAGGATCTTTGGGCTGGCCCAGGACGCTCCTTTGCTACTGCTGTTGAAGCACTCCTGTTGACATGACCTTTTATCTTTCTCATTAGAGCATAAGTGAATTCTATTTGATGACTCATATTGGATGATGCATTATTATTATACAGCCCCAGTTAGGGAGGGAGATTCACATCACTCCCTCCTAACTAATGGCATATTCAGAAGTGATATCCTGGCTTGTTATGGAGATAAAAATTTAGGCTCCTTGACAGGGAAGTGAAGACAGGTACATTTTCAGCTCACCTTTTGAATACTCATATCATCCACTCATTGTGTTGAACTCTTTAAAGTGAATACAATAGGGCTTAAAAGTCATATTTTGATTTCTCTTTTTTATTATACAGATGCTTCAGTATAATAGAGAGGCATAAAAGACATAAAACAAAGGATGATTTACTTAGGCTTTTTATAGCAGAAGAAATAAGTGTAGTTTATTGTAGTCATATTTAAAGTAGAGAATTGGAAATGGTGACAGAAGATACCAGCAAGTGTTGCTCTGAGAGACCCTTTGTGTCCTTAGGATGGTTGCAATTTTTTGTCTGTGTTGACGATAAGCAGGTAATACTGTTTCAGGTAGAGTGAATTTTCCTGAGAATTTGAATAATCATATGGGTCTGAATTTATCTCTGTGTTGGATCTCCGTCTTTACACTTTTCTAAATTCCTAAATCTGATTGCTGCACACTGTGATTGCATACATGCACAGGTAGGAGGCACAGTTTCTTGATTTCTAATTTTTCGTAGGCAAATCCTGCTTCCCAAGTTCCCAGTGGACTTCAGAAAACTCCAGGGCCCAGATCAGGGCCATTCCATTTTGTTTTCCTTGTTCTTTTTCTTTTCTATGTTTTTCTTGTTGTTTTGCTCTTTTTTTTTTCTTAATTTGGTACTGGGTTTGAACCCAGGGATTATTTTCTACTCAGCTCCATTCCCAGCTCTTTTTAATATTTATTTTGAGACAGGGTCTCCTTATGTGCCCAGTCTGGTCTCAAACTTGCAGTCTTCCTTACTCAGCCCCCTGAGTCACTGGGGTTACAAGTATGCACCACTGTGCCCTCCTAGGTCCATCTCTTTCTTTCTTATCCCTTCTGCTTGATTGAGCCCCAGCCAGCTTGGCCAAGCTGGGACCCACACAGTTCACTTGCCATGTCTGCTTCATGGAAGATCAAGAAAAGAATAGGACTGTCTTTGCTAAAATGAGGTGACTGGTCATCCTCATTGTCCCAGAACTCTTTCAGTTTTATCATTAAATCTGAATCCCATAAATTCCTGGAAAATCAAAACATTTGATCACCCTAAATATCCCAAAGATCTGTAGCCTGAGGAGGGAGGACTGCCAAATACATTGCATTATGCAGAGCCTGAAGATCACATTCATATCAACTTAAGCCAAAAGGAATTTTAAAGATAACTTGAGGTTTTATTAAATACTTACATGAGTTCTTTAGAATTTTGAAAGTGCTACTTTCCCCCACCCACCCCATCCTCTGCCCGGCCCCCCGCCCCCAGCCCCTTAATGCTGATGTTTTTGATGTGGGCAGCAAAATTGCTCTTCCCCATTATGAACACTGGGTGGCAGTGTGGCCCTGTGGCTCAGTAAAATGTCCCGTTGATTTGGTTTCAGTATTCTTGGTGGTTGTCTCCCAGATTTAATTTTCTGAAAGGTGAGATGATGGCTTACCAGTTATGAAGAATATTGATGGCTTTGTTTCATTTAGAAATTCATGCATTCAGCTCCCATTTGTCTACAATCTAGACAACTGAAGCCAATGCCTAGCACCTGGCTTCCCAAACTGCTTTGTAGGGAGTGTGTGTGTGTCTGGCCCCCTGGTGGTGTGTATGTGGTCTTTTACCTGTACTATTTTGTATCACTTTTCTTGTTCACCTCCTTCTCTTTTTGCAGTGGTTTTTTTTTTTTTCTGTTATTACTGTCATTTTTACAATTATCTAACTCCTTTTGTTCTTTTATTCTTAGCAGTTAGGATAGCTCTTGGGTCTGAGAATTAGGGATTCCAAAATGGCAGAGGATTAAATCAGTTGATTCTGAATAAAATGATGCCCAGATTAGAACTCTGACTGCCCTGGGCATTTAAAAAAAAAAAAGATTTTTTTATAGCACAGCGAGTACGATTTGTCTCATGGCAGGGGGTTGGGAGGCTCTCCTGGGGTATGCTTGTGCAAGGATGGCTCTTTCTCTGCAACTTGGCCTGACTGTCCTGTGCTATCCCCAAGTCACCCATTGGCTACTCTGGGCTTTTAGACCTGGGGAGGTATGGTCATGCTTCTGTGGGGCCAGCAGCTCTGGCATCTATAGTTGTGGTCTTTTAGCACACACCTCAATCTTACAATGAGCTGTTCTGACAAGGTATTTTCCAGTCCTGGCTGCCAGATAGGATGGCCTCCCTTTGCTTGGATTCCAGCAAAACAGTGCCTCATCCAGTCAGGCCTACTAAGAACAGGAGGGGAACATGTTTTACCCAGGTGACCCACTCACCTGGATGTCCAGAAAGGCTCAATGTCAGTCAAGTCCTCTTTCTGCCTGACATCTCCAGGGGTAATAGCAGTGTCCCTCGGAGAGGCTCGGTGTCTCGAAGGGGCATTTGGGGTATTAGTCAAGCAAGTATCCATCAAGACTTTGTTTTACGTATGTTGTGAGGCCCAGTAAAGAGGGAATCCCAGTAATTATGTGGTGAGTTACAATAAGCAGACAGCCAATTTGAGTTAATTTAGGCCTCACATGACCATTTTCCCCTCAACAGCCATTTGTTAGACTTTGGACTTAACAGGACAGTGGCCTTGATTGAGCTTTCCACCAAGTCTTACCATGTCTCAAGACCTACCAGGTTTCAAGCAGCACAATTACTATTTGTCTCCTTTTCTGTTAATCCTTTTATCACCCTTAAAACTTTCTATTTTCAAAACCCCTTGAGCTTTTTCAGTCTGTAAACATACCGTAAAATAAACAAGTAAAAAAAAGGAAGTGACAAGGTGGAATGAAAGACATGGAGGCGAGGAGGTTTCCCCAAAGGGAGATAAGGAATGTCTCTCTTTCCAACACCAGCCTAGTCAACCCTTTGGTGGCCTGTGTGGGGTTCCACAGGGGCAAGTTGATACTTGAGCACCCAAGACCTTTCATTTTGCTTCTTCCTATCTTGAAGCTCTTTGATGACTGTGTAGAGATATTGCTTTTAGTCTTACAAAAGATTGGGAGCATTAGAGAGCAGTCTGAAGGAAAAAGTGCCCCTCATTCCCACAGCTCAGGTTACCAGTTATAGTGCCCTGCCTATAACCAGCGTTTATTGTGACCTTGACTTTGCAGAATGGACTTCGATGATGAAGATGGTGAAGGTCCCAGTAAATTTTCAAGGTAAGTTTATTTTACTTTCTTTAAAGAAGCCAATAGCCAGCAGTCACCTTCCTGGGCACACAAGGATTTAATGTCTTTTGCCATTGAAAAGCCATTGCCCTGCACTCTGGCCTTCTTGCTTGTACCTCCTTCTGTGCCAGGGTTTGGCCTAGTGGCAGCTAGCTATGAGCAGCCTTACTGTACCCCAGCCTAGATGATCAAAAGTTAAATTAGAAGTTCTTAATCCCCTTTGCTTTTTTAGTGGAACAATAACTAGTAACTTTAATTGACTCCTTTTTAAAAGACCTAAAGTTCATTTAGAAAAGAACTGCTATGATGAGTCTTCTTTTTCTACTACAGAAAATAAGGAGAAACATGGGTGGCTCTGTTCTAGATGCTTGTAAAACTTGGTTTGGGGTTCTTTAGAGCCATCACTCACTGGCCATGTGCTGGGCTCTATGGGACTGTCCTGAGTACAGAATACCTGGTAGAAAGGACCCTGGATAACAGGTGCTGGTGGTATTGTAACTGTTAGGTACACAAAGGCTAAGGCAGACCCAGCTCTGTTGTGCCACATTTCCCCCTTTGGTGTATTCTGTTTGAGGCATGGTAGGAAACATGGCAGTGTGGAGAGGAAGGCACCAGCCATTCTGTCATTCTAAGCATAGTTCCCATCTTTGCCCAGTTTAATTGTGGACAGTCTTGCCTTGATGTTCCTCTCTGTCACCCAAGCCTCCAGCCTCCCTAATTCTTGGTTGTTGGTGAACTTGAAAACTTGCCACATTTGGTGGTTGCTTTTCTCCTGCTTCCGTGGCCCATCATTTGGTCTACAGCCTCAGCTGTTCAAAACAGTTTTGAGAAGAATGATGTCTGTATCATCCCCCCTCTCCCCCAGCTCCCGGTCAACTGAACTACCTGTTTGCTCTTCCCTGTGGTAGTTATTTTTTTGGTTATGGTTCCTTTTATCCAGGACCAAAATGGTCATGGCTGTGAATTTAGCATTTTTCTCACAACTCAAAGAGGGATGCCTGCCTCATTACATTTCAGGGATTACCAGAATCTTGAAGTCCATAGTAAAATTCTTACTACCCCATAAACATTCTTCTCCAAGAACATGTCCTTCCATTTCCTAGTTTCTGCTTGGGGTGAAACAGTAAAAAGAAAATGGAAAACATTTCGATCACTAACAGTCTTAGAGTTTCCAGTTGAAACAAGGCATGAGTTTCAACCCCTCAGCTGGGCTTCTGTCTGCGCTGAGGGGTTGAAACTCATGCCTTACCCCCATTTTCTAGGTTGTGTTCTAGCAGAAGGGGGTGTTTTCTTCCTGAAAAGGAGCTGGCCTTGGGAATAAGGACACCCATCTCCCTGCTCCAGTCCACTCTGGCCATACACATCTTCTCTGTATAAGGAAACAATGATTTTGATTCCTCTGTGTCAAAATTCCCCTTGCGATTACATTCTATAGCATGTTTACCTCAGGAAATGATAACTCTGGGGTCTCAGAATATTAAAAGGAAGGAGATGAGGAGCAACATTTGTGTAACTTTGAAGATGAATATCATTGATGAAGTAACAGAGCTGGAGACAAAGAGTGCATTGTCTTGGGCCTCAGTGCTAAGAAACAGAAGCCATGGACTAAGAAACTTTGTGAGCCACTCGGTGCATTAGAATTTAGTTGGGATTTACACCTAGGCTTCTAGGAACTGCGTCCTTTCTTCTATTACATTAAAAGTTAGACAGGAAGCCAGGATTTGCTTCCAACATAGCATTGTTCTTATAGGGCTGAGTTTGTAGGACCCCAGAGTCCACTTCCTCTACACAGCAGGGGCACCCGTGGGTGCATCTGAACTGCTCAGAGCTGATAAGATGACTGAATCTCTCTCCACCCCCTCCACTTTGCAAGTAGCTGCTGTCCAGGGGAAGATGATAGCCTGTTTCAGACCATTTCCTGTGGGTCATAGTGAGGCAGGCCCAGGCCCTGGTGAGACACACCCTGGGGCCACTCCTGTTTCCTCCTCCTCTACTTGTAGTCAGTCAAGAGAAACCCCTTAGGTAAGGCCTGGAAGAGATGGAGGCTGAGATACGAGCCAGTACCCACTGAAATTTGTTGACTCCAAATCTAGGAAGAGTGCTGTGCCATGATTTTTATCTCTTGACGTGTGTATAGTCAACTTTCCTTGCATTTCTTGAAGGTGGTCCCAAGTTCAAGTGTTCTGCCTATCATCAGACCTTGTGTCTCAATTTCAATTTTTTACTTGAGAAATGTGGCCAGTAGTCACTTTGAGCTAAATAGTGCAAGTTTGGTGTTTCTATCTTAAAGCTGGACCCATCACAGCAAGCCTCAGATGGAACAAAGTAGTAGATGTGAAGCTGACACTGCTGCCTGGTCTCCCATGCATGCACATGCACACCCATGCATATGCACACACACATACTTGCATTCACACACGCACTCCAGGATCCCACCTCCCAGGGCCAGGAATGCTGTCAGCCTCCTTCACCACATCCTGAGGCCTGAATTGTGTCCTGCTCCTTTGGGGTTATGACATGCAGGACATGGCTCTATTGGCACTAGTTGTTTCCCTCCTCCTGGAAGTCACAGAGATGGTGTGACAGAAGCCAGATTTCAGTGGGCTGACGACTGATTGTCAGATAAGAAAATGAATGGAGATGACTTTTTGAGTAGTTGGATATGGGTAAAAAAGGAAGAGGGCATGTGGGACTCGAGGAGGAAGTATTTTTTTAGGGTGGGAAGCCCATGAACACATCTACATGAGAAGGAGAAAGAGTGAGGATAGCCTGGAAGAGTCTGGATAAGACTAGGAAGAGATGGGTCCAGAGGATTGGGAAACATGAGAGATAGCTCCAGGTCCGCCAAGAGGACCACTCATTCTTTGAGACAGAGGAAAGAAATGCAGAGACAGCCAAATGTGAACCTGGTGGATGTGTCAAAAGTTTAGAGAGTTAATTCTGATGGTTTCTACTTTCTTGGTTAATTAGGAAGTGAGACCATATGCAGTAAATTGGTCAAATGTCTAAGAGTATGCTGAAAGAAAAATTTGGGATGCCCATGGGTTGAATCAAAGGAAACAAACTGAAGAAAGAGGTGTAGGAACTTCAGAACTCCCTTGACATTATGTACCACAGATGTTAGGTGGCACCAGTCTGCACCATGGACTATTGCCCTCTGGCACTAGTGGCTATAGACGTCACAGTCTTAGAGTTGGGGTCGGGCAGGGTGGGTACTAGGGATAGATGCAGACGTGGTGATTGGGGTGTTGCAGAGAGTGCAGCTGAAGAGACTAAGCTAGAGATCCAGCTATAGAGGATTCAGGAGAAGCCAGGAGCCAGGAAGGAGCAAGAGCTAATCATATGAGAGAAAATAGGAGGTGGACAGAAAGTGCAAGTGGCAATGTAGTCAAGGAATAGTTCTAATTTAGTGGGAGTCTGGGAAGGCTGGAAAAGAGGAAGTTGTGGTCAAATAGTCGGGAGTGGCTGAGGTCTGGTGGAGTGGGGGAAGGAAGGTTCTGGGCAAAGAGGCAGTAAGAGCACAGAAAGGTGGGACATGTGCTGCCCCACACTGAGGCAGTTGGAGTGCTGGGTGTCTCTGGGCAGCTAGTGGTGATAATGATAAAGAGCCCTAAGGGTGGCAGAGACAGACACCACAAGCTTCAGAGGAGGAGGCCCTTTTTGCCCAAGAGGCCAAAGGAGTAGAGATACAGAGCTGGCTTTCCCAGGCCAGGCCTAAGAAAGCAGCCTCCACACCCACATCCTGACATTCTATTATCAACTCACCAGTCCTGACAGTACAGGGTAATGAACTCTTCACCTCTTGGAAAACTCTGATTACGCACCAGAAAGGGATCCTCCAAAAATGAACCTCCCTGATGGCTGGTAGTGGTGCCACAACCTCCTTCAGAGAAAACAGGGTGGCCCTGTCTACCAGGAAGGCAGGTGCCCATCCCACCAGCACCACCACAAGCCCACACTCACAGAGGCTGAAAACCTCCCCAATGCACTGAACCATTGGGGCAATTTCCTGATTTCATGGTCCGGGTTTAACATTCTCTGTGGAGTCTCAGGATTTCTTTCTATGTATGTAACCACAATCAGCTGCCACCCGTGGAGAATAGCCTCTTGAATGTTGTTTCACAGTTGGCCAACCAATATCCCAGAGCCATCACCAAGCATCTGAGTTATGCATCAGGCTCTTGATGTGATGTATGTAATACTTCATTAAAATGAAAGAATGGATGCTTGGTGCAGTCATCCCAGTGACTCAGGAGGCTAGGTAGGAGGATTACAAGTTGGAGGCCAGCCTCAATGAGGCACTAAGCAACATAGCAAGACCCTAGCAACTTATCGAGATCCTGTCTCAAAATTAAAAAATTTGAAGGGCTGGGGATGTGGCTCAGTGCTTTATAGCTTTATAGCATCCCTGGTTTCAATCCTCAGTACCAAAAATAAAAAAGGCTGGGATGTAGTTTGGTGGTAGTAGAAGCATAACTAATGCAAATATCTTCTTAATGTTAGATTTATAACTTATGAACTATCAAGTATTCCCTCCCCAAACCTTATTATTGTCACTGTATGTTACCGCCCTGATATTTGTCACATTTAGACTTTGTTGCCTTTCTCAAAAGACCCCAAAGACCTTCAGAGTCATTCCTTATAACCATTACTTCAGATTCAGTCCCAGTGCTCAAGCCCTCATTGATGGCTTCCTGGCCTTTCTTTAATCCCTTAAGGGATGGCTCTCAGGTGATCTCCATCTGGCATTCCCTGGTGATGCTGAAGCACCCAGTTGCATCAGATCAAAATTATTTCTTATATTTTGTAGGGTTTAGCCAGGGGACATCTAAAATTACTTGAAAGCAAAGGGATTCATAATAGGAAAATTTCCACCAAATCAACCTTTCATTTTGCACAAACCCTTGGTTTGTGGCCATATTTAAGCTTGTGGGTATTTTTTCTCCTGGCTTTATAGGCTTTGGTGCTATTTGATTATTTAATCTTTCCAT